TCAGATCCTTTTTTTAACACCCTGCAAGATTTAATTTTAGGAATGCAAGAGACAATAAAAAATAAAATATGTTTTTAGTAGATCTACAATGAAATTTACGTGAAAGCAATGAAAATGTTACATACTACATCGATAATAACTAGCTGTACGTAACGGGCTCCGTCACTCGATTAAGGATACGCTATGATACGATAAGTGCCTACCACTAAGAGCATTCGGCTCCTCAAGACTGCACACGGCAAGGCAACGTTATTTATACTCTCTGAGCGCGTGTTTAGGTTCCTTTTTCCTCGTAGTGCGGGCCTGGTGTAATTAGTCAGATTTAGTAGGCTATTATAACCCTTTTTTTCTGTATCAATAATCATAACGTAGGCATTTTCGATTTTGTATGGGTGTGATGTATCTGTTACGTAGTAACTATTAAGCAATCTGTACCCAGGGTCTCTTTTGAGGCGAAAACCTAAATCCTCCGAGTCAACATTATCATTGCTTTTCCTGCACGTAATTTAGTTATATGAACCTAGATTAATTATTGTTAAGTGACATTATTATGGATGAACATATTATTGTAATCTGTTACTTAAATAGGTTTATTGAAATGTACCGAGATTTTTTAATTTTTAAATAAATTTCTTTCTGAAATGATTTTTTATTGGCACCGTTTATCTTTTAAAGCCGTGGTAGCCTAATAGTTAAGGGTTTGATCTACCACTTATCTGATGTGCGAAATTAAGGAAAACGTAATAAGGAAACCTACATACGAGGGCAGTTTGATGAGTCCGTGACTGTGAGAAAAAAATATAAATTATGGTTTATTTTTCTACGTAATCTTCTTTTAACTTTGTAAACCTTGACGACCAACGATATTTCAACTTCTTGAACTCATCGAAAAATTATTTGACAAACTCTGCAAAATAGAACTTTGTATCAGCTATCACTTCTTCATTTGATGTAAATCTTTGTTCGCCAAACCACTTTTTTTTTTTTTTTGGGAATCAGATAGAACCATGTCGGTTGAATACGGGGGTGCGGCAATAGTGCTTTTATTTTACCCCTAATATAAATTCCAAAAAAAGTTTTATTTAACCTTAAAGTCACATATTTTTCACACCGCCCTTGTACAGTAGAGGTGGGTTATTGGGTTATAACGTCTTTATCGAAAAACGAAACGAAACGGTTAGTTTCTAAAAAGAAACACTTTCCAGAAAAAACAAACCTCCCTTCGTACTTTTCCAAGCCTAGATAGAACGTTGTTGACGAAATGTTCAAGCACACTGTAGGCGGTCTAATTTGTCATACAAATATCAACTGAATGCATCTGGCATAAGATCCATTTTACAAAAAAGCAGTGAAACGGTTTTAAACGGTCCCGAAACAGTTTCTTGGAACTTGTAACTTGAAATTTGTTCTAACAAAACAGTTTATCTTTAATCGTAAAATATCGTTTGGTCGTAATTTACGATTTTCGAACACATCATAGAGGGTTTATGATGTGTGTGTAGATAAAATTGTATAAAAATTGTATGGCCAATAAAAAGGAGATGCCAGCGCCATCTAATGATTAACGACGTCCATGAGCAAAGCAAAAATGTTCACAGTGATTACACCGTGGCTCATGATGAATATTTGAATAATAGGAAAAGGAAAAAACTGACATTTCTTATATTTCATACTCATCGAGTATATAACCAGAAATAGAGACGAAATGTCATTTAATTTGTTTAAAAACTATTCTGCCATATCATTACTGTGACAACTGCGCGATTGGCCAGCCGGAATTCGAAACAATTGACGGGTGTCGTCAATGGCTGTCATCAATTGTTTCACTTCAAATCGACCAGTTAACTTGAGCTTTGCTATAATGGACGAAAATTGCAAAAATTACATATTTAATTACCGATGAAATTTGATTCCGTTTGTTTTGTAAATAGATGTTTTGATGTTTTTCCCCACACCACCGAATGGAACAGCATGCCACTGTTAGAGATATTATCTTTATTACATTATATATAGAATATTTTTGGAATATACGGAGACGTACACACAGGTCAGTTGTTGGCGCTGTACTATTTCAGCTTTCTAATTTGTAATTTCAATGCTAACGAGAATATATAGTTGTGATGTATCACTGATGAGTTACCAAGAATATATGGTCCTTAATTTGTCTCTAATTCTGGTTATATACTCCATGTTCATACTAAAAAGGAATTAATTGATATCCACGGCCTTTTACATAATATAAATTATAATAATAATGAATATAATAAACTATTTACTTTCCGGCTATTGGTGAGCGCTAACCGCATATAAGATGGATTTTTTTACCTTTTTCAGAGTGACTGTCTGTAGTATGGAGATTAGTAATTCTCTTGTCTTGAAATTATTGGTCCATGGTTTATATGAAGTTATAATATGTGTATCATTATACCACGTCTATGACCGCCATGTATAATATCCGTTCAAGGTTCATAACTCTCTATAATGACAATAAGATTACAATCTTGTTTTCGTTTCAATGCCATAGTACTTATATTTTAATACGATAATCAATTACGATTAATAACGAGAGCACTTAACTGTCGAGGCAGAACTTTACAATGTCATAATTAATGTCAATTGCTTCTAGGTACACTACTAACTACTATTGTTCAGTGGAATTGAGATCTTGCCTACAGAAACCCTCTGGAAACTTTCACTTATGACCTTCAACTTCATCCTTCTATCCTGTTGCAATTTTTTGCAAGGAATGCACGAGAGGAACCTCCTCCACGGCGGTCCATTCTTTTCCAGTGTAAATATCGTCGATGTTTTGTAGGTAAAAAGGGCGAAAGCGCCATTTCAAAAAAAATGTCAGGGTAACATGTTTCAGGTCTGTTTTAAAATATTTACGTCCTGTTTCAATATTCAATTATCGTTGTAACTAAGTTTAAGTTTTAAAATTTAATGTAAAACAGGGCGTAAATATTTTTTTCTCAAACATGCTCGGAAATGTTTGCGTTATTTTCAAAAAACGTACACGAACCTAGCCTAGAATACAAAGTCATCTTTGAATATTTGAATAACAAATGAATGCGCACCGTGAGTTTCTACGATATGACGTCGTGCCGTGCGTCACGTTGCTCGTCGTAGAGACGACGCGACGTCGTATCGTGTTTATGTGTAAGAGCCCTTAGCTGTTCCCACTACATCGTGGCGACAATTTATCGGTTCACGGCAGCCACCTTGTCGATTACACGACAGAATCGTTTGAAGCTGCGATTATCTGTCGTCACATTTTTATCGTGACATTTAATTTATCGCCAGACGACTGTCGTTGTAACTGTTCCCATTGTCACGACATTCTATCGTCGTAACGTTAAAAAAGTCGTGAACGACAGCTAATTGTCGTCACGATAAAATGGAAACGCGCCCTTACTCGATTACTACAACATTATTTTGTGAACAGACTTCGGTGATTCTTTTTTTTGGTAAAAAAAGATGAACATTTTTGATGGAAATATTCCACCTCTACCTCTAAGGGCAGCAAATTAGGGGATGAATCCGGTTTATTGAATTTCACCCACTTCCCGTTAACCGATTTCGATAATTCCAATGAAAGTAAAATGTTATGATAACCTAAAACTTGCATATGCGTTTCAGTTATCGTTAAGATGACGGAGAACGTTTTTTTTTTCACATATAAAAGTTATAATTAGAACTAGATTAAACATTGTAAAGAAGTAAATTATGGTTATAGTCATTTCACATGTTTGTACAAGTGATAATGTTGTAACAAAACCTATTTAACCAAGCTATTTATTATGTAATCAGATAATAGATAGAAAAATTAAATATTTTTTGTAATCGCATTATTTTACACCAGCCTGGTGAAATTGTTCGCAACAAATAAGATATTCAAACAAACAAAAGAACACAAACCGTTTTAAATTGCTTTTCCACCGGCGAGGAGAGACGAGACGAGGCGATGCGAGAATTGAAATTTCGCCGACCTATTTACACCAAAAATTGCCATCGCGAGCTCGCGCGAGCACGCGGGGTGTCGCGCAAGCATTCGCAAGCTCGCGCTATGGTTATGGGTATTGAAGACACAGTGCTGTTCAATTCGTCTAGCTATAAACTGCGGCTAAAGTACTGTAGTCTAGGCTCTACTCTATGAGTAGAATCACTGGCTGAGTGAATATAGTTTTGTATTTAGAATGTGTTTGAAAAATGAAATAAGAAAGAATAGAACATCTTGATAGTTCGTAATGTAACCTGAATCAGAAAATATGTGAAAGAATACAATAAAAGCAAGTTTTGAAGATTATCCCAGTTTATATTTACAAAAGTACCTCTCGCTACGCATCCTAAGCTACGCCCCAGTTTACAGTACCATGTCCCGCAAATTCTTATTATTCAATATGTTAACGGAAGAAGAACCAGATGAAGGTACTGTAAGAATTTAATTTTTATTCATTTTCTTTACGACAGAACATACGAGTATTAATGTTGTATTAAACGTGGCAGAGTTTGGCAGATTTAGGAATATTCAGCAAGTTCTTTATTATTTTTAGAAACAAACTGAAAACTTGTTTGTATTCTGTTACTACGAACAAACATCTGAAGCGAAATACATGTTATAAACATTACTTATACCAAGTTTATAACCCCCAACTTCTACAGACTGTACTCAATTTACTTTTTAAAAGCTTTGATAATTAATCACAATTATCGATAATTCTTTTTAATGCACGTCGTCAAAAACACTGGGCCATAAATATACAGGATGTTGCCATCCTTCTTTCAAATTTAAAAAAGAAATTCGCACATAAATTCCAAGAAACTCACAGAACCCGGATTCAAGACCACGGTCAAGCTAAATATGAATCTAAATTTGAATTATCATTTATTTATCATTTTACCTATTAATGCACTTAAGCTTCCAATAGGAAACCCTTCAGCTGTTCAAAAAGATAACAGACAGAAAATCTTATATATAGGATTCGACAATTATATTGATTACATCACGTTATAGTAATGCGCTTTAATAGTTGAAATTTTGCAATAATTTGTAATATTAATTTCAATTTAATTGCTTTCAGTTTGCAAATACAAATTCTTTGGTAAGTAGCGTATCTAATTTGGTAGCTATTTCAGATGTATATTCCAATATTCATTCTGAGTATATTCAAACTGGAAAATTTGTGCGTGCACGAGAAAAGTTTCTCTTTATTTAGGAATGACGGTAAACGAGCATATTGTGTCATTTCGCATGGCTGGCACTGACCGGTGGAAGCGAAGTGAAAAACGGTTTATGTTCTTTTGTTTATTTGAATATCCTTTTTTTGTGACTAAATTCTGATTCTGATTTAACGTAGAAAATTTCGTCATTTAACAATGACTTACAAATAAATGGACGACGGGTCTAATACAAAAACCAAGAAAAAAATGTCCCAAATCAACCTATTTAAACGTAGTGACATGTAAAGGAATATGAAAAAGCTAAAACGTTGAATTTAAATTGTAATGTCATCGCAGTACTGTCTAATTTTCAACGAAGACTAAAGCGTGAATGAGGCTCTGTATACGATTTTAACGCTCTATAAGTTCGGACACTTTTTAGCGCGGACCCGACGTCCATATAATTGTAAGTCAATGTCATTTAACTTTTAATTTTCGTTTTAATGCGATTACAAATAATTATCAGTACAGAGTACTAAAAAACCCGACTACAAAAATCATTCATCGCCTAGTTACCAACACTTAAGCTTTCTACACACCGAGCGCGCGGATCCGGCGACACACCCTTACTTACACACTTATTTCTAATCTAATCCTACGACATTACTTGGCTCGGTGGGTGCTTTAGAGGTGGAACATTTTCCTCAAATTTAAATGGGACCACTGCTGTGGTACCCTCCTTTCGATAAAAAAGGAATCATCGAAATCGGTTAACAAATTTTTGAAGTTATCGCGTAACATACATACATAAAAATACAGATGAATTGAGAAGTTCTTCCTTTTTTTTGAAGTCGGTTATAAATATAAACCTCTGCTATCTATTATGTAAATGTCACTTGTTTAAAAAATGCACTGAAATAATAATATGATAATTGTAATAATAATTTACTTCTTTAAAAGAGGTATAACGTTTAATGTAATTGTAATTATAACATTTTTATAAAAAAGAAGACAGACTTTGGTGGTAAACCACACGCCGGTCTACGACAGTTGTTATGCCACTCAGAACTTTAAATGGCAAAGCCTCCTTCCAAACCTGTATCGTTCAAAACATAATTATTCTTTTTTCGTAACCAGTTACGAACGAAAAACCACGGTATCGTGCGAGTACAAAAAAGTCTTCGTTCGCAACTGGTATCGTACAAAACACAATTATGTTACTTTCGCAACTGGTTACGAACCTCCGGTTTCGTACGCGGCCGAAGGGAGATCTGAGGGGCACTGCCACTGCGCCCGTCATCCTGAGACAATTTGAATTTGAGATTGAATTTTCAATTTCACCAGCACCTTAGCACCTTACACTTCAAAAGCGAAACGCAGTAAAACTCACATTACTACATAACCTTAACAGTTTGTTTATCTGTTGTCGTTATGTTCGTTAACGACATCGAGTATATAATCAGAAATAAAGACAAAATAAGGGCCATCCATCCCTGGCAGCTCATCAGGCAAATGGGCCTTATAGTATTATGCAACTTGTTGTTGAAATGTTTTTACGCTGTTCTTTGTGTTATTTCTGTTTTAGTTATATTAGTCTTTGTTTTTGTGTTTTTTTTTTATAATGTGGCGTTACAATAAATGGTTTCTATTTCTATTTCTACTTCTATCACTTTTAAATATCAACTCTCGTTTGCACTGAAATCGCAAATTAGAAAGCTGAAATAGTATAGCATCAACAACTGACCTGTGTGTACGTCTCCGTATATTTCAAAAATATCCTGTATTTATTGTAATAATCTCAGTACAGAGTACTAAAAAAACCGACCTCAAAAGTACGTGGAATTACATATAATTACCAAGTTTATTGAAATCTGTTACCGGAAAGTGCGCAAACCCGGGTTCATCCCCTAGTTCGCCACTATACAGGACTTGACACAGGAGATAATAAAAATCGGTTCTCACTACTCAAAGTATATTGAGAGAGAAAAACGCCTTGAATTGGACAATAGAAAAATTAACCATTAAATAATTGCTCCTTATAATAAAATTTAGGCGCTTTTTATAAAAAAGAATCTTCAATCTTAGAGGTGGATGATTTTCTTCAAAATTAAATGGAAGCACTATGGAGGTACCTCTTTCCAACTAAAAAAGAATCAAGAAAATCGATTCTCAAATACCGGAGTTATCGTGTAACATACATACAAAAAATCTTTTTTTTAAGTCGGTTAATAAAGATAATATCTCTGAAATGGGGGGGCTGTTCCATTCGGCGGTGTGGGGAAAAACAGCAAAACATCTAATTACAAAACAAACGGAATCACATTTCATCGGTAATTAAATGCGTGATTTTTCAATTTTCGTCCATAATAGCTAAGCTCAAGTTAAACTGGTCATTTGAAGTGAAACAATTGATGACACTCGTCAATTGTTTCGAATTCGGTCTGGCCAATCGGAGAGCAGTTGCCACCGTAGTGATTTGGCAGAATAGTTTTCAAACAAATCAAATGACATTTCGTCTCTATTTCTGGTTATGTACTCGATGGTTAACGACAACTGAAACGCTTGTGCAAGCTCTAAGTCACCATGACATTCCATTTTCATTGGAATTACATCTATGTGCCAAGTTTTATTAAAATCGGTTAACGGAAAGTGGGTGAAATTCAGAAAACCAGATTCATCCTCTGATTTGCCACCCTTATAAGTGGAATATTTTATTCTTATTTGAATGGGACATGGTAACGAGTTACCCCCTTTCGTACAAAAAAAGAATCATTGAAATTGGTTGGCAAATCGTTGCCGCACTTTCTCAAACTCGTATCTTAAAGCACGAAGTTACTAAAATGCAAAAAATGGATTGTATATACAAATTTTGCAGGCTAATTTCACATCACATTTCCTTCATATTCACGTAAGAGTTACTGGCATTTATCTATTCATAAAGTAATGCATACAAATTAACACCCTTGATAAGAAATTTAAAATAAATAGAAAGTTTGACATCACTTGAATATTCAGTCTTTTTAAGATACGAGTTTGAGAAAGTAAGGTATCGAAAAGTCACATTAATCGCATAATATACTCACAAAAATTTAGTAGCAGTAGAGGTTCTTGTGAAAGAATTTATCTAGAAAATTTATCTTACCCATTTCTACAGCCAAGCAGCAATGTGAGCATTACTGTGTTCCGGTTTAGGAGGGTAAGATTGCTGGTGAAATTACAGGCACATGGGACTTGTCAACTTATGTCTCAGGGTGACTGACGCAGTGGCAGTGCCCCTAAGATCTGCGATTTAAAGCTCTGAGAGACACTGCAACTGCTATGGATAGGCGTGTCTCTTTCCACCAGGTGCACGCTTGTTCGACCCTTCACTTAGTATTATAAAAAATACAGACGAATTGAGAGCCTCCTCCTTTAAAGAAGTTGGTTAAAAATACAGATTTGATCATGTTATAGTATCAGTCGTACGTCAGTCATTTAAACAGATTAACTTACTAACTCCTAAGCTAAGTTAGGACTTGTGTTATAGAAGCATGTGGTTCAAAGTTCGGCGTTCTTTAAAAATCTGCTAGGCTGACAAAATTCAAAGTTTTTATATGAAAGACCCAGTCGTATATGTACATATATACTTTATCTACCAAGGCAACTGAATGAGTACTAATAAATAAATACTTGTTTTTCTTAATTTCTAGATACAAAGAAACAGCGAGAATGCACCGTACAACAACATGGTTGTTATTAATTACAACACTAGCAACAATACCAAGAGCAATGGCTGATAATTGTAATACGCAACAACGTTCCGATTCACACAGTTGCTTCACAAAAACTGAACTGATAAATCTACTCGTAAATGACAATAGTACAATGGCATATTACACACTAAAAAGACTAACCGACGCAGCCAATATGCCTTCACTATTCAACGAACTTAATTTCGCCTACATGTGTTTCTTCTACCCCTTGAAGTACTATACAACAGATAATAAACACTGGGACGACATACGCAAATGGTGTGTAAAAGTCGTCGAGCATTACGACTTCTACAAAATAATACATCCCATACAACGTCTGGTGTGCGATATTCGCCCAAAACCGGAACCAATACCGTGTCCCTGTTTGACACATAATATATAGAACATCTACGGTGGCGACATTAATTAGTTATTTTATTTTTATTTTTTTATTACGAGCATATATACATATTGTGTTAATAAAGTATTCCTTATAATAGTTATTTGTTATGCAAGGCTGCAAAGTTATTGTTCAGCGCGTTTGTTTGTATGGAAACCTGAGCAAGCGTAGGTAAAAAATAGATAGATTAAAAAATAGATAGGGCGTTGCGAGGGTTTCAATGCACGAGACGCAAAACAACTTTGCTACCGAGCGAAACACAACTTTTCACCTCACTATAGCGAGCAAAACGGTAGATTTAAGAAAAGCAGTTGAACTATAAGAAATCTGTGTCAACAAACAAAATTAGGTATCGTAGTCAATCTAATGTCAACAATAATAAGAATAAAATATACCAACGGATTTATATTACATAAATAATGTACGACAAATCGCGTACTATGTTTTTTATTTCATCGAAAGAAATTATTCGAATTTCAAAACGCTTTTACTAGCTGATATCTAATGAAAAATAAGGCCTTTCCGGGTTAGTGAGGTGAAAAGTAAATAATGTTAATAATAATAGACTTACAACATCTAGCCTCACAATTACTTAATGAATTACCGGACGCTGTACAAGAATTAAACTATACAATTCAAAATCAAGTTGGATAATTCGTATTAAATGTTTGTCTTATGTGTTTGCAAAATATAAAATGTAAAATTTTAAGTATGTAACTATGTTATATTTTTTGCTTCCTTATTTTCGTTAAATTATTGCAAGTTTCGTTATACTTTTGTATTAATTAAACTTTCTTTAAATGCACCAATACTAAAATGACAAAAGGTGTAAAATATTTGCATGCCAGGTTTTGGTGACACGTACGATCATATCTTCAATGTTAACTACGTTTTTCAACGAATAGATATCTTGTATTCTACTTTTTTTTTAAAAAGCGCATTTGACCTTCTTGTCACCTAATGTAAAGTAACGATGAGGTCAACGATGTAACATGCACACCTAAATAATACCTTCACACTCTCGCCTTCAAAAGACTCGAGTTATAGCATTTCAGGGAATAAGTCTGGAGTCAGGAAATTCCACTTCCTAGCCCTTTGCCATATAAATGTGAAGAAAAATCCTTGGAATATCTACCAAATAAGGATGGAATCCCAGCCTATGTTTAGTCCCCCGATGACGGAAAGTAGAAGACGGAATTAAATCATACAATTTCATCGCATACTCCCTGTGATATATCCTATAGAATACTAACAAGCAGGCAACTTTACAGCTATATTCCAGGCTCTACAACTTAGCAGTTAGCTAGTGTACAATTCAATCTTTCGTAAGGGTTACAAACATTTAATATTGTTTGCTTTTATTTCATATAATATCTGTCTCTTTTGTTAAGAAAATAAACCATTATTATTGATATTATTTATTTATTTATTTATAATATACAACTTACACTAACAGTAAAAACCAAACATGCAAGCCATAGTCAATATTGGTTGGAGTCAATCACTGCAAAAACGAAGCTGCTGAATATCGATCACAGAGCTTTGGGCGGTGACCGACTCCAAGTAGTAACCAGCCGATGTCAGAAACTTCGTCCTAGTGTTACTAAACACGTCAGCGTCCTCAATTTGATTCAAAGATTCAATAACGGCTAGAGTCTCGTAGAATGGTGTCCGTCTTAGTGTCTCCGTACGGATTAGATGTAGCGCGAACAAGGGATGTCTACGTTGGCGCAGAACATATCGCGGTGTTGGCGGGACAAAGAAAGGTATCTGAGCCAATAGAGGGGGGTTACTGAGATATGTCAGTGCCTTGGTTAGCACCAATGAAAATAAGGGCCTCTATGTGTTGACTCTTCAATATCTTTCCATAGAGACATTAATCTCGGTGGCAGCCAAAAGACGCAAATCAATTAACTTACCGGTTCTCAAACTTTCAAAATGATTTCTTTCAGTCTTGCGTAATAAAATTTTGAAACTCTCACGATCATTAAGCGACAAGACGGTTGCAGTTAGAAGCAGTAGAGCTTCTTGTGAAAGAGTTAAGTAGCAAGTTAAGTTAGTAAGGGTGCTGGTGAAGTTACAGGATTTGTCAACTTACGTCTCCGGGTGAAGGGCGCAATGGCAGTTCTGTGTGTGTGTGCGATGATCACAATAGATCACTTAATGGTCGCAGAGATGAGGGGCCGATTAAAGTCACACTAATAATAATTATAGTGTTTGAATAATATTTAATCCTACACATATAAATATATGGATAAACCTACACATTTAATGAAGTTTGACAAACCCCAGGTCCTTGCAAAAGAAGTCCGTTATCTACCCAAGATGCTGCGAGAGACTATTGAAATTAAAAAACATCCTAATGTAAGCAAAACTTTCACTTTTAAGTTTGAATACCTCTAGCCATCTTTGTTCAATTATTCGTCCAATTGAACATCGTTATGCTGGCTGTGTAACACTCATTCTCATTGTAGTGACATTAAGAGCGTGTTATTATATACATTGTTTATTGTTAGATATGAGCGTTTTTATTTGTATAAAAATATCTTAAAGGAAAGTGGCGTAGAATAAAAAGGAAACAGTGTTCTTTTAGCCGTGATCAGTGATGTCAGTTTTTAGTTATTTCTAAATATTTATTTATTTTATTTTTATTTATTTACAAACTTAACAATAACCGTGTTAGCACCAAGTTAAAAGGTCGTAGAACTCTAGCTTGTTGTAAAAGTACCTAACCAAGGTATCCATCTAGTAAGTAAATCGAATTATAGCTTATAAATTTCTCATATTGAATCGGAATATAACTTTTCAATACCTTTCACATATTGGAAATGAAACTATTTTTTCCAGGACCTAAAACCGTGAATATTTTAAAATACGGTCGTTATTCAAACAGATAGTTTAGTAGCAGTAGAGTTTGTCCAGGGAAGTACAGCCATCTTACCTACTTCTGCCGCCAAGCAGTAATGTCAGTATTACTGTGCTGCGGTGCTGGTGAAATTAAAGGCACATGGGACTTGTCTACTTATGTCACAGAGCGACGGGAGCAGTGGCAGTGCCTCTCAGATCTTTGCGATTTAAAGCTCTGGGTGGCACTGCAACTGTTATGAACAGGCATGTAGCTTACCATCAGGCGCACGACTTAGATGTTGTGCTGGCCAGCAATCCTATTAACGATCGTATTAAGTAAACTGAGTAACGATCGTATTAGATTTCGTTTTGTAAAATTGCGTATTCCGAAAAGCAAATGCAAAGTTGTGTCGTAACATTTATACATTCCACAAATTTTACTACACGTCACTATTGACAACAATGTTCAGCACTTAGCTCCTTTAACGTAGTTATGAATTAATACGAATTACGTAGGCCGCTGCCGGAGGACTAAAAAAAAACCAAAATTTTACAAACTAATTTAATTAAAAATAAATGTAATTACAAATTAATTATCACTAAGAGCTAATTGACCCGACCGAGGTATGTATCGAAGTGTCGGTGCGCGGCGTCACGTTGGCCTGGTGGATTCGGCATGAGGCGCTGCGTCTGCAGTTTACTCTATTGCATGATTTCTAGAATATTGGTGCCGTGTGCAATACAGTCTTGGTCAGCAAGTTGCCTTTAGGGTTGACACATAACATACGAAACTTGATGAGCGGACAAACGTCAAAACGGCCACCATAGCGTGCCAGTACTTTGGTCTCAACTCACCTGTCTCCCGTTTGTCCAGACTACACAAAGAGCATAGAGCTACAGTAGATATGTTGCCGGACTTCGCTAACCGATCTCCGCAAAGCAATTCTTAGCAAGTGTATCATCAACTCACTAATGCGTCCCACTGCTGGGTACGGGTCTCCTCTTAGGCGAGGGTTTACGACATAGTCCGCCACGCTGGCCCAATGCAAGTTGAGGACTTCACAGGTTTTCCGAGGGTTGTGCACCTTCTTCGATTTGCAGGTTTGCACCGAAAACCATGAGGTTAATTTAAAATTAAATTAAATTTCGAATCTCCTAGGTGGATTTCATCTTGTCTTTAATTTATTATAATTTTTGTTTTTCTTTTTCTCTTTGTATTGGTTTATATCCTGGTATTCATGTTTTATAGCCCTAAAATATTAAGACTATCCCGTTCAGAGCAAGATGTATTCATTTGTTACTAGTTGTGCGTCTTGTCAAAGTACTCTTACCAATATGTAAATCGAAATTGATGTAACAACCGTTGATGAAGCTAATAAAATAAAATGATTTATATTCTACAAAGAACATGCTGCCCGCTTAAAGTACTCGCTTCGTAGTGATTGTACATGTAGCTAAGATCCTTCTTTGACAAGAATGGTTAATACTACAGAACCCATTCAGGGCGTTGCGGTTACATTGTCGATTTGGTTTTTGTTTACTCAAATAAAAAGACACCGAAGATAACTTCATTACAAAGATTTAAGAAAATATGAAGGTTAATTTTTCAACTACACACGTATGTCATCTGAACCCTTTGATTTTTTGTTAGGGAAAATCTGAATGACAATTACTGGTATAGACAGAAATTGATTAAAAATCTGCGCGGTAGTACGGAGTGCAGTGTGCCATACCCCGCGGTTCGCCGTTCACGGCGCGGGGGCGCTACATCCGCGTGCGGAGAAGTGTTGTCAGTTTGTTCGACGGCGCGTTTTCCATACAAACGGAGATACTTCAGTACATCGAGGTGCAGTGTGTTAATCGCCTAAGTGACAAAATAAAATTTTGAGTTATCATTTAAAACCATAACCCAGTTTTAGAATATTGAAATTGTTTAATGATATTTCAGCTATGCATCGTTTGGGCAAGATCCGATAAGTCAAACACGTTAACTAATTTTAACTGTTTTTAACATTGACTTTTTGTAAGTCAATGGTTTTTAAAAAAGAATTTTCTGCTCTATATTTGTCTATTTAAAACAGATATTTGATCATTTGTCACTCGGCTTAATGACAAATGGTTTACACTATGTATTTAATGGAACACATGTACATAGTGTAATTATGTAGTTAGTTAAGCATATACATGTTTTGCCAAATTGTTTTTATATCAATTTTCCACAAATTAGAAAGTATATATTATGCTTAAATACTAGAGACTAAAACTAAGACTACATTCTATGAATAAAATTAGTTCCCTGCGGCATGGTGCCCAAGATGCTGGCAGCGTTCCCCCTTTGCACGGCTATGCTAATGCGTTGGGCAAGGTAGCTGCCGGCCCTTAGGATTCCCAGACAGTCTATTAATTTTTTGGATGAAGGGCACCGGTACCCCACGGGCCAAGGGTTTCTACTCCAAATGCTGTAAATAGATAGTCGGAGCCGAGGTCCTCGTACTTATTACTTCTTATTCTTTCCGCCAGCTCGGCTGCGGAGCCAGTCATCTTACTGGTGTGCTGGTGTGTGTGATTTTTCGTATATTTGTTTCAATTTAATTTAAAAATCATTGATGTTTAGTAGCAGTATAGCTCCTTGCGAAGGAGTTCGTCCAGGAAAGTACTGCCACCTTATCTATTCCTGCCACCAAGCAGTAATGTCAGCATTACTGTGTTCCGGTTTTGGAGGGTAAGGGTGCTGGCGTAATTACAGGTACATCGTACTTGTCAACTTATATCTCAGGGTGTCGGGCGCAGTGGCAGTGCCGCTCGGATCTTCACGATTTAAAGCTCTGAGTGGCACTACAACTGTTATGAATGCCTATTCATGTATGAATATCTATGGTCTTACCACCAGACGCACGACTTGCTCGGCCCGCCACTTGATATTTAAAAAAAACTTATTAAAATAATGCTAAATTGACGTCTTCCTCATAAA